CCCCAGGCCACAGGGTAGGTCAGTGTCAGTGCTGGGGCTAAGCCCGAGCCTGCTGACTCCAGCTCTAGGCCTCCATCCTCCATGGGCTGATCGCAATCCCCACTTGAGGCCCAGACAAGACTGCAACTTCGCACACATGGGACCAGTGGCAGATGCAGGCCTCTACCGTCCAGACTTCGCCACGAGACAGTGCCTGTGCTTTTGACTGGGGCTGCGGGGCTGCCCAGCACAGCCTCCATCTGCTCAAGTGAACGTTGTGGCCATTCAGCCCATTCCCCTGCCTCCGGACTGGATCAGAGCACTGTCAACTGACCTAGCAATTCTAAACCTAGCTACGTGCCCAAGAAAACGGAAAATATGTGTTCTCATAGAAACACGTATGTGCACATAAATGTTCACAGTAACATTCACAACCGCCAGAAAGTAGAAAAAAAAATCCCAAAGTCCATCAACGGATGAAGGGCTAAACAAAATGTGGTGTATCTGCACAATGGAATATTATTCGGCCATAAAAAGGAATGAAGTACTGACACTTGCTACAACATGAACTTTGAAAACATTATGCTGTCTTGAAAAAAAAAAGAGCCAGATACAAAACACCACGTACTCTATGATTCCAGTCATATGAAATGTCCAGAATAGGCAAATCGTATATAGACAGAAAGATTAGTGGTTGCCAGGGACTGAGGAGAGTGGGGAGTGGGAAGCCACAGCTAATGGGTTTCTTTTTGGGGGATGAAATGTTCTAGAAGTAAATGGTGGTGAAGGTTGCACAACTTTGTGAATATATGAAAAACCACCATAGTGTCTACTTCAAAAGGGCAAATTTTAGAGTATATGAATTATATCCAATAAAGAAAGGAAAAAGATAAAACACAGATAGTATGGACAATGACAGATGTGAGAGAAGCAGTTATATTCTCCAAATGGAGGTTTCCAGACTCCTGCGATGCCTACAAATGTACTCAGAGGACACTTTCCAAGTTCCACCAAAATAATATTCCCCAGAGCACATGCCATATGCTCAGTATTTCCATAAAGAATGAGATATGAGCCTGCCTCTCACCTAAGACCCAGGTGGATCAACTCAGTATCCTGTAACTTTATAAAGTCATCTAAATCCAGGGTAGGAGGAAAGCAGGAAAAGTAGAGAGAACTTCTGCTGACACCAGCTACATCTCCTGCTATTGTGGGAGAAATGTTGCCCTGCAGGTTTAGGAAACAACCATTGCGCTAACACATCTGAGAGGTGGCAGCCAAAGCCCTGGGGAAGAAGAGCCGTTCACTAAGAAAAGCGAGGGAGGGAAAAGCCCATAAAATATCTCTAGAAACCCATAACCCTAACTTTCTTTTTCAAAGATTTTATTTATTTATTTATTTGAGATAGAGAGAGCAAGAGAGTGAGCGAGTGAGCAGGAGCCGGGGGGAGCTACAGGCAGAAGGACCAGGGTTCAATCCCAGGATCCTGGGATCATGACGGGATCATGACCTGAACTGAAGGCAGACGCTTAACCGACTGAGCCACCCAGGCGCCCCCTAACTTTCAAAATCTAAAAGACAAACCAAAAACCTAGCCTGTTCCCACGGTCACTGAATCCACTAGTTTAATTCCTCTTTGGTTGTATGAATTGCCACAGAAACTCATATACCCCAAAGCAGATCCACACCCCCCATCCCCACCGATTGTGAAAGTTAATGTATACAAGGGTGTGGGGACTGTTCTGACTTCCTGTAATAAAGTGCTTGACACAGCCCAAACTCAAGTCTATCTGTGACCCCACTTTGCCTGTTACACAAATCCCTCTGTAATAAATTCACTTCCATGCATTCTCACTATTGCATCAAACATAAAGTTTCTCATGTGCACCCTTTAAACTGGCCTCTGTGGGTCACTGTATACATTACATCCTCAGTTTCTTAACATCAGTTACTGTATCCACCATGAAAGCACACAGGACAAGACTCCCAAGTGACATGATATACACTGAATCACTGTGCTTTCCACTCAGCTTACAATAAAATCCCAACTCCTCTTCAAGGTTTTTTGCAGGCTGAAAGCACGCCGGCTCCCCTAGTGTAATGTTCTGAAGGGTAGGAAGGGGAAGCACCCTAACAGAACAGTCTATTTCAACACACAGCCCATAGACTGCAAACTGGAGACTACAATCCACTGCAATTATAGACTGGCTTTTAGAAACACAGCTGCTCCTGCCTCTCTCCAGTTTCATCTTGTATCAATCCTTCCCACCCTCACCCCTCACCATACTTCAGTCCCTCCAGCCTTCTGTGTTCCTCCAATATACCAAGCTCTTTCCCACGTTGGTCCTTTACACTTGCAATTTCCTTTGCCAGGAACACTCTTTGCCTTGCTGGTTCCTTCTTGTCAGTGGGGTCTCAACTCATGTCACCTCTGAAAAGACTTCTCTGACCATTTAATCCAAAGTAGTTGTGTCACCCCATCACTCCCAATCACTATCACTTCGCCCCTTGCTGTCTTCACAGCATTTACCACTATCTGACGTTATCTTGTTCATCTACTTGTCGACTTGTTCACTGCCTGTCTCCTCAGACTAGAAAAGCTCCAAAACGGGGGCGCCTGGGTGGCTCAGTCGTTAAGCATCTGCCTTTGGTTCAGGTCATGAAACCAGGGTCCTGGGATCGAGCCCCGCATCGGGCTCCCTGCTCGGCGGGAAGCCTGCTTCTCCCCCTCCCACCTCCCCTGCTTATGTTCCCTCTCTCGCTGTGTCTCTGTCAAATAAATAAATAAAATCTTAAAAAAAAAAAAAAAAAAAAAAGCTCCACAACGGTGGGCATCTTAACCCTCTACTTCACAACTACATTCCTAGGTCTTGGCACAGAGCAGACACTTGTATATTTGTTGATTAAATCAATGTGTGCCAGAAATATGTACTGCTAACTTATTACCTCTTAAAAACCTCTGAACAGGGTGCAATGCTATAAATGCCACTTTATTAAGTTTTTCCCTATGGCAAGGGAGGGTGTGACTTTTCCTGTTACATTCTTTTTTTTTTTTTTTTTAAAGATTTTATTTATTTGAGAGAGAGAATGAGAGAGAGAGAACACATGAGAGGGGGGAGGGTCAGAGGGAGAAGCAGACTCCCTGCTGAGCAGGGAGCCTGATGTGGGACTCGATCCTGGGACTCCAGGATCATGACCTGAGCTGAAGGCAGTCGCTTAACCAACTGAGCCACCCAGGCGCCCCTTCCTGTTACATTCTTATACCATGCTTGGTTTTTTTTTTTTTGAGGTTCTAGCAGGGGAGCGCAGCTACTCGTATACCCTTGACTGAAGAACGGTCCTCCTCTATCGGGGAAGGTCGTCCTCTTCGACCAAGCGCACAGCTTCGGGAGGGACGCACATGGAGCGGTGAGGGAGGAAGGGGACACCTGCCTAGCCAGCCAGATCAGCCGAATCAACCCTGGCGATCAATGGGGTGACAGATGTCGCAGCCAGATCACCCTCACATCCTACCATGCTTGTTCTGAATGTGGTCCAGAAAAAAATTTGGTTTCGACATCTCACTCACTCATGGTTTAAATCGAAGTCTGAAACCACAGAAATCAGGCAAGGCTGGGAAATCTTGTCCCTGACCTCAGGTTCTAAATAAGGAAACCCTCGTTAAACAACAAGGATGTTATCTGTTGGTTAACAGAAGGAGGGAAGCTCATTGTCGGCCAATAATCTACCCTTGTTTGGAGAAAGCCAACACCAAAGAATTTAAACAAGAATCTGCCTTTGCTAAAGTCAAACATCACCTCCTTTTTTTCCTGTGTTTTCCTTTGCATTCACTCCTAGGATGAAATTATCTGCAGAGGAAGCAACATACAGAAGACCTAGAAAATCACTCTGGACAAAGTGACTTCAATTCTGGTTTTGGTCTCTTGACAAGGAGAATGCGAGCTGAGCTTCTGGAAGAAAGGCCACTCCTTCATAGGTCTACTTCCAGGGTTCTGTACAGGAGCCAGTAAGTTCTGACCCACTTTCCAGGCACCGCTCTTTCACCTGCACCCTTATCCACATACAGCCTTCATCTTAACGAGCTCCGTTCTAACCAACCTTTTCCCTAAAGGGTTGTGTGGTCCTGCAGGGGCACCCAAGGGGGAGGCAGCCAGACAAGGCTAGTAGAGTGTTTTTCAAAACATAGTTCACAGATCACCTGCATCATAATCACTGGAGTGCTTATAAAAGTGCAGATTCCTGGGCATCACCTAGACCTACCGAATTAGAACTTTGGGAGTGGGGCTCAGGAAACTGCATTTTTACCATGCCTCCCCCAACACACCCGAGTCTTATGCACAGTGAAGTTTGAGAACCAATGGGATAAAAGCTCCCCAGGAGAGAGGCAGACAGTTGATTTAGAGAAGACCGCATAAATGCTTAGGAAAGGTCTGGAAATAGAAAATGGAGGAGAGGGGTGTAAGGGCATGCTCCAGGGTAGCGGCAGTCAAGACCTGTGCGCGGTGGGAACAGTTATTGAAGGTGGACATGAGGACAGGGCTCTGGAAAGGATCTGAGACGGGGCTTGAGCTGGGTGGCTGGTCAGTGGTGAGGTCGCATCCGCGGACTGGTCAGGACAGAGGGGAGGCGGAAGGCGGAGAGCAAAGTCTGGACGTAAGGAGGAGGAGCGAGGGTGGGAATAGGGGGATCTCGGGAGAGATCCGGGCTGGGACGTGAAAATTAGAAAAAGGGGGTCACAGGAGGCGGAGACCAAAGCAGTAATAGGAACCGGCGGAGACGGTAACCGAGACCTTTTCTCCGACCGAGTGCCTCCCCCAAAACTCCGGGCCTTGACAAGCCTGAGTGCGGGGCCAGGGTCGGGGAGGGGGAGTTTGGGAGAGACAAGCCCAGTCAGGGACATCCCTCAAGCCTGAGCTACGGGTCCCGGAGGTGGCTCGGGCCAGGCATGGGGCGCTGCAGGGTCCTGGGATCCCCCGGAGGGCCCCGCTCCAGCTCTGGCTCCCGGAGTCTCCTTCACTCACCATCGCAGCCGCCATCTTGGATCCACGTGTCGCCGTAATGACGTCAGCGGAAGTGGTGTTTCCCTTGTTACGGAGTTTAACTCCGCTGGGTGCTGCCTGGCTTCAAACTCTCCTGTAGTCGTGGTCAGCGGAGGGGTAAGAAAACTTTGCTCCTGATCCGCAGCCTGGTCTGGGCAGTGAGGCTGCTGATTAGGTGACGAGCGGATGCTGTAACTATGGGAGCCATATTAACTCCTGGCAGAAACTGCTCCTCCTCCTCCTCCTCCTCCTCCTCCTCCTCCCCCCATTGTATTGTGGGTAAGCGGGTGCGTATACGCGTCTGTTCTCTGGACGCCATCTTTACTATTGGCAGAAAGACCGGTTGCCAGGGTTACCTGAGGTCTTGATTTGATGAGTGGGATTGGTACCAGGGCTCTAATAGCAGCCCAACTCCGGGAATAATTTGTAATTAAATGTATAATTATTTACTTGACTACTTTATATCCTCTCTAATAGACTGTAATCCCTAAGAGGGTAGGATCCTGTCTTTTATTTAACCTTACTTTACCTTATTTTCATTGGCAAAATAGGTAGGGGATTATAGTAAGTTTATGATGAGGATTCAATGACATAATGTTACATAGTATGTATTCAATAAATAATTGTCATTCTACACTTATGTATACTTCTTCAGGTAGATGGTAAGTGCCTAATACAAAACACTACTTATTAAAGGAATGAATGAAAAGCAGTGTCTTTAGTAGAGGAAGACATCTTTGAATGCAGACTTCACCATGGTCTGGTTAGCTAAGAGTGTGACCGAGGTAAGTCACTCAGTCTTCCTAAGCCTCAATTTCCGATACCTGGAAAGGGGACTCAAAGAGTCACGGTGTTAAAATTGGGAGAGGCCAGAAAGTTCACTTATTCCATGTATCACTGTAAAGTGGATACAGTACCAGTGCTACCAGTGACTGTTTCAAAAAGTTGTTAAAATAATAATAATGATTAAAAATAATCAGCACTTACTGAGCATTTGCTGCGTGCTGCAGCCCTTAGCATTATGCTAAAACCATTCCTAAGACTCTCTTATCTAATCCTACCTCTTGGCAGGGGGCAATTGACTCTGATCCCCACCTATGAGTGCCACTGTAGTGGATTGTCACAAACAGGGCTGCCAACAAGCCCTCCTGTCTTCGCATGAGCATGCTGTTTCTCCCATCAGGAGGTAGACTCTATTTCTCTTCCCTTTGAATCTGGCTGGTCATGTCACTTGCTTTGACCAAAGCATGTGGTATAAATGACTCTGCTAGTTCTGGTTTAAGCCTTAAGAGGCTTGGCGGCTTCGGCTTCTACTGTCTTCCACTGTGTCTCCTACTGGAGAGCCACATGGAGAGGGAGGGAGGCCCAACCAATTTGAATCCTCAGAATATTCCAGAAACTTCAGCTGAGCACTACACATGTGAATGAAGTCATCTTGGACATTTCACCCCAGCTGAACCGCCAGCTGAATGCAGCCACATGCGTACCCTCATCAACACTATGTGGAACAGAAAAACTGCCCAGCTGAGCCCAGTTGTTTAAGATTTTGGAGTGGTTTCTCATGCTTCCAAAGATAATTGAAACACACATCCATTAATTCTTGTGACTCACACAACCATCCTAAAGAATAGCAGAATTGATATCATCCCCAAGGGTGAGGAAAGACTTAGAGACTAGGAGGGATTTTCCTGGAGTCTCAAGGCTGGTAAACCATAGATTCCAAACTTGCAACCAGTTCTCCTGATGCTTGAATCCTGGGTGTTTCCCACCATTTCTGGATGCCTAAAGAGGGATGACTGATAAGGAGCAAAGCTCCATGAATGGCATATTATTCCTCAGTATTTCCATTTTCTCCCCTCCTCGTACTTTCCATTTCCCCAGAGGCCTTTCATATCTCAATCTCTTTTGGTAACATACACCAGAATCCTAAAGCTAGACTGCCAGGGTTCAGATCTCATCTCTACCACCCACTAGCTCCATGACATCGACAAGTTGCTTCTTGAAAACGTTTTCTTTTCATTGTGGTAAAATGTACACATAAAATTTAGCAGGGCATATACTTCTAGGTACCTTCAAAAATGCTTCTCCAAGGAGAATGGGAAGGTAGAGTTGGGATTAGGGGAAGCAAATCTGATCCTTAGGTGTCTCCAAGGAGAAGGGTAGGATATACTAATCTGTGTTCTTTTCACACTGGTTTCATTTATTTATTGCTAAATAACCCAGCACCCTAAAACTCAGTGGCTCAAAACAACAATATTTTATTATTTCTCTTGACTCTGTGGGTTGGCAGTCTGGGCCATTCCGATTGTCTCACCTGAGATCTCTCATGCACTTTCAGCAGACGGCTCAGCTGGGGCTGTAGGGTGCATGGTGGCCTCTTATGTCTGGGTGTTTGGTGCTGGCTGTCAGCAAGGCCTCTCTCTCCATGTGGGCGCTCATCCCCAAGGAGAGTAGCGAAGGATCCTTCACATTATGGTCTCAGGTCCATGGTGGTGAGTGAAAGCTGCAAGGCCTCCTAAGACCTAAGTTTCAGAACTCCCACAGCATCAATTCTGCCACACTCTGTTGGTCAAAACCAGTCACAAGGTCAGTCCAGAGTCAGAGTGGGAGGGGACCACACAGGGCATGAATTCAGGGGGGCATGATTTGTTGAGGGTCATTTTGTAACAATCCACTGTGCCATCCTTGCTTCACACCCCCACCCCCTGTCCATGAGGCCTCTGTGGCAGCCTTCTATGTGGCTTCTTCCTGCTTGCTGCTCCTGTCACCTCTAATCTTGATTCTCCATTTAATAGCCACTGTGGTAACATAAAATCTCAAGTCTTCACCATGGCCTGCAAGGCCCTGCATGATCAGGCTTGTCTCCTACAACTCCTTCCCTCACCCACAGGGTTCCAGCCACACAGATATTCCTGGAACTGGCTCTTCTCATCTGCACCTCAGGACCTTTGCACTTGCAGTTCCTTCTGTCTGGAAAACTCTCCTCTCAACATTTTGTGTGGTTAGCTCCTTCTCATGTTTGGGTCTCAGCTCCACTGTCACCTCCTTAGAGAGGTATTCCCTGACCACATACAGATATAGATAAATTTGGTCATTTGTTATTCTCTATCTCCCATGAAAACTTGGACTGGATTTATGTTGTTACCGACTGTGTCACTGTAAGTATGTGTTCAAAAAAATTTTTTTTGAATGTTTGCATTATGAATTACCTCAAGCCTCATCCTATCAGTTAGGAAAAGATCCGGCTGTAAGGAAGAACCCCCCCAACACACACACACTAAAATAATAGTGGCTTAACAAGTCAGAAGCTTACTTTCCTCTGTCTTAGCTTGGCTTCCCCCAGAAGCCAACTCTGAGACAAGGATTCAAGCCAGAGTAGTTTATTTGGGAGGTGAAGGGACACCAGAAGGCAAAGGCATATGCAGGAGCTGGTTTATACCGCTTGCAGGAGCCAATAGTTAAATTTTGGGAAATTTTGTGAGCCAACTGTTGGCCATAGGCATTATTGAAAATTAAGTTATGTAAATTTTAAATTAAATAAATGATATTAAAACCAAAAGTATGAAATATGCAAAACTCTACTTCCTAATCATTTTTTAAATTTTTTATTCTTATGTTAATCCCCATACATTACATCATTAATTTTAGATGAAGTGTTCCATGATTCATTGTTTGTGCATAACACCCAGTGCTCCATGCAGAACGTGCCCTCCTCAATACCCACCACCAGGCTAACCCATCCTCCCACTCCCCCTCCCCTCTAGAACCCTGTTTGTTTTTCAGAGTCCATTGTCTCTCATGGTTCGTCTACCCCTCTGATTTCCCCCGCTTCATTCTTCCCCTCCCGCTACCTTCTTCTTCTTCTTTTTTTTTTTCTTAACATATATTGCATTATTTGTTTCAGAGGTACAGATCTGAGATTCAACAGTCTTGCTCTACTTCCTAATCATTTTACTATATTTTATCTATGCTCAATCTATGCTCTTGAGGTTATTCATACCTATTTTATCTGTGCCATAGAAATACTATGAAATGGGGCACTACTGCATGTCTTTCCCCAGTTCTGAGTTCAGTAGCACTGAATTGTTAGCAGAGCCAACTTATCCATTAATGCAGTAGGCACAGTACACAAGGCCCACTCCACTTTTAGAGGCCATGAAAAGAAATTAAGTTCTTTTAAAATCAGAAGGAAAATATGAATTTTGGGGCCGAAGGGAAAGTGTTTGTATGTACTATTGGTATATTCATCTTTCTATCAATGCAGTTGTTGACTATATATTTAATATTTGAATAAATATTTATATATATTAAAATGTAGATATTTAAATAAAAATATTCTTATTTATATTTATAAATATAAAATATAATATGTATTTTATAAATATAAAATATAATATATACATATAAAATAAAATATAATAAAATATATATTTGTGGGGTCCTACAAAGGTGGAAGTGCCTAAGGTCCGTGCAAGTCATAACGCATTTCTGGTTGGAAGCTTGAAATTGGCAATGATGAGAATATTTATACCCCCCTAAATCAGCAAATGCTATAAATCAGGGCTTGAACTTTTGTTTTGCTAGCAAACATTTTCTGTAAAGGGCCAGATAATAAATACCTTAGGCTTTGTAGACTGTGTGATTGTGTCATAATTCTCAACCTGCCTTGCAGTACAAAAGCCACGACAGTCAACAAATAACGGGCGTCACTGTGTTCCAATAAAACATCGTCTGCCCTAGTTTGCCAAACCCTGGGCTAGACTTCACGTGCTAAATAAAAACGCAATAGTGCAGATTAAGGGTTAAGTGTGCTGTATCTGTATCTGTTACATTATGATCAGCACAAAAATGTGACAGTATTTGAAGCTCTTACCTGAGCTGGCAAAGAAGTTGCTCATGTCATTGACTAATGAGTGAAGTTCCAATGTACATCTTCATTATTTCATTTCCATTTTATTTATGAATATAAATGAAACTATCAACTCACAGTTATGTCAGAGCTATACTTGGGGAAGGTATGTTGTCAAGCAACTTACCTCTGTGAGTAACTGAAGCTTAATCCCATGGGGAAACTCTGGGAAACAACCCAAAACACACACCTCACAGTTACCACACCAGGGGAGCAAGGGAGCTGGGGTATTTATACACCAACTCCCAAAAGTCATTAGTTGAGGATTTATGCCAGAGTGGGTGAATTCCTCAGCACTTTTGGTGTTCTGGGAACACTGGCAGCTGAGCTTTCTGCAGCTTTAGGAAAAGAGCCCTCAGGCATACAGTGGTGAAGGTAATAGTAGCTAAACATCTAGTCCATTCGAGGGATCCTGACAGTGCATGCCACACCCTCTGAGGTAAAAGTTGGAGGACCTTCTAGTTGCTATGGTGGTGTACTTAAAATATTTTAAGAGATCTAGGCCCTATCCAGCTTTGCCATCCTTTGAGTTAATTCATGTTCCTCGGGGTCCAAGGTGGTAGCTAGAGCTCCAGCCTTCACATGCATATTCTAGGCAGCAAGATAGAGGAAGAGATGAAAAATAAGGGGCAAAGAGTCCACATCAGTTGTCTTTTAAGAAAGGATACTGAAAGGTGCTATAGCACACTTCCACTTACAACCCATTGACCAGAACTTAATCACCTGGCCACACTTAGCTGCAAGAGGGAGTGGGAAGTGCAGCCTTCATTCTGGGTAGTCATGTGCCCCCTGATAAAAACGCTGTTTCTCTGGAAGAAGGGGGAACATGGATATGGCGACAACTAGCAGTCATTGCCAACTTCCAAAAGGAATGCAAATTGATATAGCCTTATGTCAGAATATACGGTGATGAGGACAGACACATGACAAAACTGAGGGCCCAAGTCAGGGAATAAGGAGGCAGTTTTATTTCAACTCACAGGGGGAAAATGAAACTAGTACTTTCCCTGTGTTTAAACTCAAAGCCACAGCTAGATACTAGATTACAGCAAGTCATTGACATCTTAGAATGGGGCACCTTATCTATGCCTTCCTTTGATGCCTTCCAGGGGAGGAGTGCATGCAGTTTTCCCAAAGAATTGGTGGCATTAAATTTATCTCCATGTCTTTGTTTGCTTTTTTATTGAACAGACTTTATTTTTTAGAGCAGTTTTAGGTTTACAGAAAAATGAATAGAAAGCACAAAATTCCCATATGCGCTCTCATCCAGCCCCCAGTTTCCTCTATTATTCACATGTTGCCTTAGTGTGCTACATATGTTACGGTTGATGAGCCTGTTATTATTATTAACCTAGGTCCATAGTTTACATTAGGGTTCACTCTTTCTGTTGTACATTGAGTTTTGACAGATGTATCTATCATTAAGAGTATCATACAGAATAGCTTCACTACCCTAAAAATTCCCTATGTTCCATTCTATTCATCTCTCCCTCTCTGCCAAACCCCTGGCAACAATTGATCTTATTATCTCTGCAATTTTGCCTTTTCCAAAATGTCCTAGAGTTGGAATCTGATAGTATGGAGCCTTTTCAGATTGGTTTCTTTTACTCAGCTATGTGCATGTAAGTTTCTTCCGTGCCTTGATAGCTCATTTCTTTTGATCACTGAACAGTATTCCATTATGTGGATATACCACAGTTTGTTTATCCACTCACCTGTTGAAGGGTATCTTGGTTGCTTCCAAATTTTGACAATTATAAATAAAGCTACTACAAACATTAGTGTGTAGGTTTTTATGTGAACAGAAGTTTTCAAATTGTTTCAGTAAATATCAAGGAGTGCAATTACTGGATTGTATGGTAAGAACATGTTTAGGTTTTTTTTTAAGATTTATTTATCTGACAGAGCACAAACGGGGGAGCGGCAGGCAGAGGGAGAGGGAGAAGTAGGCTCCCCGCTGAGCAAGGAGCCTGATGCGGGGCTCGATCCCAGGATCCCGGGATCATGACCTGAGCCAAAAGCAGACCTTAACCGACTGAGCCACCCAGGTGCCCCAGGAATATGTTTAGTTTTGTAAGAAACTGCCAAATGTCTTCCAAAGTGGCTGCACTATTTTGCATTCCCGCCAGCAATGAATGAGAGTTCCTGTTGCTCCCTGTCCTTGCCAGCCTTTGGTGTTGTCAGTGTTTGGATTTTGGTCATTCTAAGTAGTGTGCAGTGGTATTGTTTTAATTTGTATTTCTCTAATGACATAAGATGTTGAGCATCTTTTCTTTTTTTTTTTTTTAAAGATTTTATTTTTATTTATTTGGCAGAGAGAGAGAGACAGCAAGAGCAGGAACACAAGCAGGGGGCGTGGGAGAGGGAGAAGCAAGCTTCCCGTGGAGCAGGGAGCCCAATGCGGGGCTCGATCCCAGGACCCTGGGATCATGACCTGAGCAGAAGGCAGATGCTTAACGACTGAGCCACCCAGGCGCCCCTTGAGCATCTTTTCATATGCTTATTTGCCTTCTGCATATCTTCTTTCGTGAGGTGTCTGTTCAGGTCTTTGACCATTTCTTTATTGGGTTGCTTGTTTTCTGATTGTTGGCTTTAGGGTTCTTTGTATATTTTGGATATCAGCCTTTTATTAGATATGTGCTTTGCAAATATTTTCTCCCAGATTGGAGCTTATCTTTTCATTTTCTTTTTTTTTTTTTTTAGATTTTATTTATTTATTTGAGAGCAAGAGAGAGAGCACAAGCAGGGGGAGTGGCAGGTAGAGGCAGAGAGAGAAGCAGGCTCCCCGCAGAGCAAGGAGCCCGATTTGGGGCTCGATCCCAGGACCCTGGGATCATGACCTGAGCTGAAGGCAGACACTTAACCGACTGAGCCACCCTCATTTTCTTAACAGTGTCTTTCTCAGAGTAGAGTTTTTAATTTTAATGGAGTCTAATTTATCAATATTTTCTTTCCTGGCTTGTGTTTTGGTGTTGATCTGTCCCCATGTTTTAATCTGTCTTTCCTGTGACCAGAGGCATAAATCATAGTATAGGCAGTGTAAACCAAAAGAGCAGGAGGATGCGAATTGACCCCTGGTCTTGTCTATGTAGCAATAGGCTCCCTCTTATGGATTACTGAACAGCAATACAATGTACCACAAATTATGAGTGCAGATTCCTACTAAAGGAGCCTGAGCTCTGCTTTCAGATACCCAAAGACATATCCCAAAGGAGAAAGCAGGAGAGAAATTCAGTTACCAACTAGGTAAGTTGAAACACTGCTACCTTCATTTTCCACAGCTTATTCCCAGTTCCTCTGTGCTACTCAGGGGTGCAGAATCAATTCAATATAGGGTTCCAGGGGCCCCTGGCAGGTGCTGTGATGTAAACCCTTCAGGAGATGCAGTAATATAGAAAGGTGTCAGTGGTTCCCCATCTCCCTCTCCACCTCTTCCCAGCATTCCCCTTACAAGGAAAGCTAATGCTTTCAATTGAAACAACATGCAGGAAGGGCCCACTGCCTCCTTGTCTTCTCTACTTCCATCCCACATCTCCCTCCCCTCCACTGAGAGTTTCCCATGCAGGCTACCAGATACCTCTCAGCAACCACATCTCCAGACCCTGGTATTCCTACAATGGTGGGTACCATCTTAACAACCATGATGGCTGCTTGGCCATGGGAAATGCCCAGGCTGTGGACAGCCCTGCAGCCCTAGGGGAGACCCAGACTAATCAGCTCGTGTATCAGTGCAGGTTGTCGGGAAAGTCAGGGCCCCAGTCATGAAAAATCATTCTTATCATCTTGGCAAACTCAGCTCTTTGGAGATAAAAACCCATCCAGCGTCCCTGTGCCAGTGTGATAGGCAGAATAACGTCCCTCCTCCACACCCAAGATGTCTGTCCTAATCCCTGGAACCTGTGAATGTGTTGTCTTACGTAGCAAAAAGGGCTTTGCAGATGTGATTAAGGATCTTGAAATGGAAAAGTTAGTCTGGATTATCCAGATGGGCCCAGTGTACCAACAGGTGTCCCTACAAGAGAAAGAGGGAGGCAGGGGACAGAGAAGGAACTGTGATGACAAGCAGATTGGAATGATGAGTGTAAGAGAAGCATGAGTCGGGGACGTGTCAGCCTCTAGAAGCCGGAAAAGCCAAGGAAATGAATTCTCCCCTAGAGCCTCCAAAATGCACACAACCCTGCCCAACCCATTTCAGACATCTGACCTCTGGAACTGTAAGATAATGAATTTGTGTTTTAAGCCACCAAGTTTGTGGTCATTTGTTACAAAAGCCATAGGAAACTAACACAGCCAGTGGCTATTTGGGGGCAGTTAGAAACCCTGGGAGCCTTGGACCCCACTTGTCTTCATGCTCCTGGTCTTTGGAAGGGTCCTTCCCCCCTTTCTGACTCGTCATCCAGCAAAAGGGCAAATAGATGATATTCAGGAACTGGCAGGACAGGACAAGCTGATCTGTCAGTAAAGCCTTTAGCATTTGTATCTTTTATTTAAATATTTATTGCATTATTTTTAAAGTTTCTCATCCAAACCACAGCTGCAACTGGAATCCAGCTGTCCCAGGCAATAGAAATATCAACTTGGGGTCTCCTGAGGGGGGCGGATTGTAGATTGCTGGAGTCAAAAAGAGATTGTTCCGGTTCAGCCCCTTGACAGATGAGGAACTGTGGCTGGAACTGGGGGTGGGTGGTGTCTGGGACTGGGAAGGGTGAGCCGGCACCAGGCAGGTGGCGCTGGAGGCACCTCTTAGACCCCGCCCGGGTCTGCCCATCACGGCTGCTGTTGGTACTGGCTCTCAGTGGCCGTGTAGAAGTCGTCCAGCACACTCTGGATATATTCGAAGGTGGGCCGCTCCTCAGGGCGGTTCTTCCAGCAGCGTGTCATCATTTTGTAGAGCTCCTCAGGGCAGTGCTCTGGTCGAGGCATGCGGTATCCATGCTCCAGTGCCCGGATCACCTCAGGGTTTGTCATCCCTGAGAAGGAGCCATGGAATTAAAGAGGGAGGGACTGGGACAGGGAAACCCGGAGTGACAGAGACTGTTGCCTCCCCAGCAGCTATCACTTCCCACCTCCCCTGGGAGCTGAGCCCCCCCCCCACTATGAAAGCCAGGTACCCCTTCCCCAGCCTCCCCTACAGCTAGGGCAGGACCATGGCACCCAATTTTGGCCAATGGCAGCTGAGGAGCATTGTCCCGGGAGACTGCCAGGAAAGGTGTTCCTCCCATGGAAGATACACCCTTCCTCTTTCCAACGACACTGAGAAACGACCTGATCCTTGGAGCTGAAGCACCACACGGGGAAGACAATCACAGAGAAGCGAACCCACAGACCTGAGTGCTGTTGAGCACTTGAACTAGCCAGTCACCAATGCCAGACTCCTTATCATGGAGGTTAATAACTTGCCTATTGTTTCTGCCATTCTTAGTTATTTTCTTACTTAGAGCCTAATGCATCCTAATGGATTCGGTTCCATAACCCAATGCCTGGCTTTTACTGGTGTACTCTCAAGACAAAACAGGCAGTCTGTCTCAGTGTCACTCTGTGAATGGGACTATTTCCTTGTTCAATTGAAGTTTATGTGAGATATCCTTAAGAACAATCTTCTACATGTCTACAATGCCCAATTTTACATTATCAGTCTAGAGCTCCAAACTCATATATCCGAGTGCTTCCTTCAACATCTTTACTTGGATGTTACAAGTCACCTCAATGTAAAAGGGCTAAACCAGAACTCTTGAATTTCTAACCCCAGACTATCACCCATTTGGCTGCTCAATTAACCAAGAGGATCAACCTTGATTCTTCTCTCTCTCACCTTCCATATCAGCAAGTCACATTTTTCCTTCTTTTGAAAGATATTATCAACCCATCGATTTACCTCTGTCTCTACCACCTCTCCCTATCCCACTGCTGTGGCCCCCGATCCACTCTCCATGCTGAACCAAAGCATCACTTAAAGATGGAAATCAGATGATGCCACTTCCCTGACTCAAACCCTCCAATGGCTTCCATACACTTACACTAACATCCACAGTCCACAGTTTTCAGCATGGCCATGGGCCCTCCCTGATCTGGCCCCTGCCGACCTCATCATTCACCATCTGCTCTCATTCCTTGTCTCCAGCTACCAGGCTTCCTTGTTCTTTCTTCAGACACACCTCAGAGCCTAAGAGCTAGCAGTGTCTTCTACCTGGAATCTTTCCCCTAGTTCCTCACTGAGCTGTCTTTCAACTCAAATAGGACCTGCTCTGACAGGAGCTGGGGAGCACCACAGGTGCCCCATGTCACTCCCTCTCACTCACCCTGCTTCGTTCTCTGCTCAGAAGTAACCTCCAGCTGAGAGTGTGTGTCTGTTGTGTGTGTGTGTCCCTCCAGGCTAGAATGTGCTCGACTCACCATATCCCCAGTGCCTAACACACAGGAGGGATTCGATCAAAACCAATCAATGAACCAACTGTCTATACCTCTTACTTCTAATCTTCACAACCACGTCTGCAAGGTAGACACCATTACCTATATTTGTTTAAAGGTGAAGACACTAGGGTAGGAGAAGTGAAGTGAATTTCTCCAAGTGTAATTGCTGATGGGGTGAGATTCAAATTCAGGATGGTTTATATACAAAGTCAGGGACTCTTTAAAATCTGCCTTTCTCCTTCTCCCCAGTGTTCTGGCTACAGAACAAGAGACATCTCAACCAGAAAGGAACAGAGAATAACATTATTTATGGACTCACAGGCAATCTACATGTTGGGTATGTCTTTGTGACTGCCTGGTCTACTCAGCGTAGGGTGCTGCCCATAGGCATGGGGATAAATTAATCCATTCAACAAACAGTTATTAAGAACCCCCCATGTACCAAGAACAGAGGTGGGCAGTACACATACACTAGTAAGGAATACAGACATGATTTCTGACCTCACGGAGCTCAGTGTCTGGTGGGGGAAAATATTAAACAAATCTGTAGTTGTCAATTGCAACGAATACTATGAATGAGACAATATGGGGTATTACTAATGAGAAGTAGCGGTCATGTAAGATACTTTAGATGACTGGATGGTGGGGTACAGAATGAGATGAAGCTGGAGAAGAAGGCAGGGGCTGGATCATGTAGGACCTACAGGCCATAATTAGAAGTTTGAGATTTTGTCCCAATTACGATGAGAGACCATTAAAGAGTTAGAGGTGGAGAAGGGACACGATCTGTTTCACAATTCTACAAGGATCCCTCTGGCCTCAGTGGAGAATGGCCTGTCCGGGAGAGGGACAAATGCAGGGAGACTGCGTAGGAGGCCACTGTACCATCAAGGTGGGAGATGATGTTGGCCTGAATGTGGGTGGAGACAGTAGAGTTAGACATGAGCATGTATTTAGGAGGCAAGTGGCCAAAACCTTGGGACTGCTTTGGATGTAGTAAGGGGTGAGAGAAAAGGAAGGGCCAAAGATGTCCTCAGATTTTCAGCTTAAGAAACTGGGTGGATGGTGGTACCTTTAACTGAGATGGGGCAGATGAGGGGAGGTTGGGGGCAAGGATCAAGAACTCCATCTGAATGAATACACTGACAAGAGAAGAGACCCACGCTGGGCCATGGAAGCAGCTGCAAGCTGATGCCCGCTTCCCTACCTGGGTAAGGGATCCGGCCATAGGTGATGATCTCCATCAGCAGAATACCAAAGGACCAGACGTCTGACTTGATGGTGAAAGAGCCAAAGTTGATGGCTTCAGGGGCTGTCCACTTGATGGGGAACTTGGCCCCTGTGGGATTGGACAGAGCATAGTCAGGGACAGTCTGGGAGCAGTCAGGGCTGGGTGTCTGCTAGGGTGAGGAGCAGGACAGGGGCAAGGCTGCTAACATCTGCCCCTACGTCCAGCCTCCACGGAAGCAAGGGCTATCCATCCTGAGGACAGATGTCTAGAGTGGAGGGGAAGGGGCAGAGGGGTTTGGGGCGTGCCAGGGGAGCTGGCACTCTGGACTATCTCATTGATTCAGCCAATATCCCAGTGAACTACAGCTCCCAAAGAGTAGAGTCCTTGAGGACTTCTATAAATGGAATCATACAATATGCAGTCTTTGTCACTTAACACGATGTTCTGAAAGCTTATCCATGGTAAGCATCTAGTCCTTCCGTCCTTTATTGTGGCCGAATAATGTGGTCTTGTTGCTTCTACTTTTTGGCTGCCACAAATTATGTTGCTATTCATACACAAGTTTGCCTGTTTCTGAATTTTATGTAAATGGCGCCATCCAGCTCTCCTTTTTTTTTTTTGGTCTGATTTCTTTCATTTCAATATTATGTCTTTGAGAGCCAACCATTTGGTTGGGTGGAGCACTGGTTTGTAATTTTTCATTGCTGCCTAATATTATATTACATGAATGTACCACAATTTATATATTGGTTCCACTACTCATGGATATTTGGATTCTTCCCAGTTTTCTCTATTACGCATAAAGTTGCTCTCACCCTTAATTTCCACATGCATTTGGCTAGCTCACCCTAAAATTGATCAGAGTCACTTGGTGAGAGTCTACAGACCAGGATACTCTGTCCAGAAGGACTCCAGCAAGCTTACTAACACATAGCTAATACGGAGACAGACACATGTCTTGACTCTCAATGCTCACAACCCATCCAAGTGGGCCCCATGGGTCCCTTGGCAGCGCTCCCTACCTTCCCGAGCCATGTACGCGTTGTCCTCGATGACACGTGCCAGGCCAAAGTCGGCGATCTTACACACCAGGGACGCAGAGACCAGGATATTGGCGGCTCTGAGGTCTCGGTGAATGTAGTTCCTCTGCTCGATGAAGGCCATGCCTTCTGCAATCTCCACCCAAAACAGAGACATCCTCATCTTCACATCTGGCCCAGCCCAAGGCGGGTCCCACCCAAAAACACAAGAGGAGTGTCTAAGTTTGAGAAAATGGGAAAATGTGTGTGCCAGCTTCCCCTTTCTTGTGGAAGGGTCCTGAGCGCAGGTTGGCATTTCTCTATCTCCCCATCTAGGTTGGGGGGGAATCTGAGGGCTGGGTCACTTTAGAAGCTTCTTTGGGATTCCAAGACTTCCAGAGACTACTTTGAGGAAAGAGCAATGGCAATGGCGTTATTTCCTCAGGACCTACATACACACACACCAGAATACTATGAGGTCCTCTCATCCCCAGCCTTCTTTCTGGAAGACAAGCTAGGCTAATGTCATATTTTGCTGTATCTCTTGTACCTTCTTCATCCTCAAGCCTGGGTAGGGAAAATTCATGTATTCATTCAACAAGTATCTACTGAGTGTCTCACGGGTGCCAGGCATATTATTTGAACAGCTGGTGAGCCAGGCAAGACCCCTGCAGGTAGTAGTAAGTGCCATAAAGGATAAAGCAGGATAGCAGGACATGAAGTGTAGACTGCAGTTTTGGATTGAGTAGTCAGAGAAGGCTGCTTTGAAGAGGTGAAATTTTAGCAAAGATCTGAGTAGTGACAATAAGTGTGTCAAATAAGAGCATTCCTGGCAGTAAGAACATCACGTGCAAAGGCCCAGAAGTAGGAATGAATTTGGTGTTCATGGAACACTGAGCTTGGAACACATGGAACTTCTGCTCAGGTGGCTGAGCAGAAGTTGCCACAGAGAGATGGGGGTGGGGTGGGGGGAGTTGAGGTTGAGAGGGAGGCTGCTGACTGTGAAGAACCTTCTAGGTTTGGAGGGGAGGTTGGATTGTACACTGAGCGCAATGGGAAGATTGTAGAAGTCCTCTAGCAGGAGTGTGACATGGTCTGATGTATATTTTAATGCCATCATGCCTGCTGAATGAATAATAGACTGTATGGAGAATTCTCATTCACAATGGGTCCCTGGAAGCCTCTGATGGAAAGATGTGGGATCTTTCCTTAGGGACTTTTTTTTTTTTTTTTAAAGATTTTATTTATTTGCCAGAGAGAGAGAGCGTGCGCACAAGTAGGCAGAGCAGTAGACAGAGGGAGAGGGAGAAGCAGGTTCCCCGCTGAGCAGAGAGCCTGATGCGGGGCTCGATCCCTGGACCCTGGGATCATGACCTGAGCCGAAGGCAGATGCCCAACCGACTGAGCCACCCAGGTGCCCCCTTAGGGACCTTTTTCAAGGGCTTGTGCATTAACCCTCATAAAGAGGTTTATAATTAACACCCAGACACCTAGAAAACAGCGTTTATGGCTTACAAACTGGCCTTTGAGCTCCTCGAGCCAAGTGTTATTACAATCTCGGTTTTACAGAGCAGGGGACACTTTTTCCATATCATCCCACCAGGAAAATTCTCAATGTCAGACTCAAACCAGTCTGCAGATTTCCAATCCATGTGCCCCATGTTGCCTCTAATTAAAGCAGAACTCCAGTGCTCTGGAGGACTGAAGCTGGGTGCAATCTGGTAAGATTTGTGGGGTGGGGTCGGGGAGCCTGGCAAGACAGACCAGACCAAGACACAAGCCTGCTCAAGGTCAGAGGCAAGGGGTGGCGCACTTGCGGGAAGTGGTCAGCAGGGGGAACCTGGTGGCTACCAGAACCAAGGTGTGAGGCTTCAGACTTTGTAACAAAAACTTGAGACTGCTTTTGCTTGGAGTCACAAGCCTGGGGTGAGATGAGACAAGGTCTTGTGGGGTGCAGAGGGGCGGGGAGGGGAAGGGATTTATCAGGAGTCCTCAGACAACAGAACAGTTAACAAGGGCTATTATGCTAATGGCAGGCACTGTAGCTTCCTCATATACTATGAGAGGATACTTGAGCTTAAACAGCATTTGCTCTGTGCTTTGGGGAGGTGCGCCTGCTATCAGCCCTACGTCACGGGCAAGAAAGCTGAATTCTGGAGAAATAAGTAACTGGTCCAAGTGGAGACCAGTAGTGGAACTCCAGCATCCCTGCTCAGGGTCTGGGCACTGATCCATCACTCTACCTGGACTTTTGGCCTTGGATTTGGCACAAATGCGGCTAGTTACCATTTTTTTCAGTACCCACAGGCAGACATTCATGTTATTGATTTTCGCATGCACTCAGGGGGGCAGGTGGGATTAACCCAATTTAGGAGACCGTAGAGGATACTGCCTAAGTAACTCCGCAATTACTCTGGAGTTGGACCAGCTCAGCCTGAGCCCCACAGCTCTGGGACCTCAAGCAAGCTACTTCCCTTCTCTTGCCTTACTTTTCTTCTCCATAGAAGGGAGGACATCAACAGAACCTGCTTCTGAGGGGTCATGTGAGGATGAATCCTCTAAGTCTACATCAAAGGTGTAGAACAGTGGCACATAAGTATTCACTTCAATTGTGGCTCTTCATGCTCCCTGGTGAGGAAAGTGACATTCAGAGAGGTTAAGCATCTGGCTCAAAGCGACACAGGCAGAGCTGGGTTCAAAACCAAAACTCTATGTGACTCCTAAGCCCAGATGCTTACATAGTGTTGTTTCTCAAGGATTGAATGAATGAATAATGGAGAGGCTCACTGGGCTCAGGGTTGGTCTAAGAGCTAGGGGTTGATGAAGTGGTGACATTTCATGACCACCAAGCAGGCTGCCCTGATGTTGGGCATTAAAACTTGGGTTTGAAAAAAACAAAAACAAAAACTTGGGTTTCCTTCTGAGAGTATCAGGGAACCACAAAATCAGAGCTGGAAGGGCCTAATCTGGGCTCTTCCAACTGAATCCCACTGATTCCTCGGGGTTGCCGGTGGGGGAGGTGGGGGGGGGACAAAGCAAAGGGCACCCTCTTCAATCTGAGCAGCTCTGTTTTGACCTATTTTAAAATGTTCAGCTGCTGTATAAGATTTCATTTGACCAACAGATTTATGGCTTTATAAAAGGCTTTTGAACTTGAGAAGCACAGATGTGGTCTAATTCCCTCATTTGACAAATGAAGACACCGAGGCCTGTAGTAGGTCTGAGGCCCATACAGCCAGTGGGTGAGACATGTTCTACTGCACCGTCTGCCTTTCTGGGACTGGAGGTGAAGACCTGGTCCCAGGTTGCCTCCTTCCTCTCCCTGGGCCCTCTGCTCCTGGTTTCTGTTCTCCCATCTGTGAAGCAGGGAGAGTGGCGTTTGTCCAGGCTGACTCTCCCCCAACAAGAGTTCTGCCAGTTTGATGGTTATAATTTAGTTATAGGCCAGACTGTTGTTTCCCTAGGGACAGGGACCACTAAAGTGAAAATGCCAGGCCTTGATTTCCATATGGCTCCAGCATTCCAGACTCCAAAATTTAAAGCCTTTATATATATCTATATATATATCTATATATATCTGTATATATCTATATCTGGACATTCCTCTCCTGGGATTTGCATACCCCCATGAGTTCTGCCTTAGGGATCTCCAGAAGGTCCTAGGCAGGTCTCCCTTAACACCCTCCAGGCTGCAAACCACACCCCCTTCATCTTTGCCAGCCCCAGGTACGGGCTGACCAGGCCCAGCTCTTTTGCTTTTTCCCATGGGCTTTGGCACAGGCTGTTTCTTCCATCTGGAGTACCCTCCTCTCTCCAATGCAGCTGCCTAACTTCCACTCATCCTTCAGGGTTCAGCCCAGAAGCCACTTCCTCTGGGAAGCCTTGCTGGGTTGCTCCTGGACCAGGCTAATTGTTCCAGCCACGACCTCCCACAGCATCCCTTTCCTCCCCTGTTTTCCAACAGAGAGGAGAGAATGAGAGAGGACAAAAGCGAAAAGCACTCAAGTGGGGAGTAAGAGGAACTGCAGACAGTGAAGGGAAAATGAGAGAGAAAATGGGATTTTCAGAAGTGGTCCTTTGGTTTGTTTACATTATTTATTTTGCTGGATACTGCATCCTTCGGCGCTGATCCAGGACCACTTGGGTAATGCCTCTCTTAGACATCCAATTGTTTAATGTCTATAAATTCTGGGAGGACAGAAATACTCTCCATTTCATTCGCTGCTGTATCCTCCCACCTCAACACAGTAATTTAGGCAAACTACTTCATCTCACTGGGCCTCAGTTTCCTCATCTGCACTCAACTGCTTCGCAATGCCTTACTTTCATATTCTGTAAAATGGGATGACTTGTCTGTGGCTGGACTGTTACATTGGTGGCCCCCAATGGACTGTGCCTCCTGGGACTCATGCTCTTATGCAGCCCCCTCCGACCCTGAGCCTGGGCTGGGCCGTGGGCCATGCTTTGGCCAATGAAAAGTAGCAAAGCATGATGGGAGCAGAGGATTCACAAGTGCTTGCACATTAGGGCTTGGTCCCTTGGAACACTCCCTCTTGGAACGTAGCCACCGTGCTGTAAAGAAGCCCTGATTGGACTGCTGAGTGACGAGGGGCCACAGGAGAGAGATCCCAGAGGCTGAGCCACCATGCCGGACATTCTAGCCCCAGGCAAGCTCTCAACAGAATGCATCCATGTGACTGACCTCAGTCTAACCACCCAGCCAACCCCAGTCAACGCACAGCATCACAAGAAATAATAAACTGTCGTTGTTTCAAGCTACTAAGCTTTGGAGGAGTCTTACAGAAGATAATAAAGGGGCACCTGAGTGGCTCAGTTGGTTAAGCGTCTGCCTTCGGCTCAGGTCTGATCCCGGGGTCCTGAGATTGAGTCCCTGGTTGGCTGGCTCCATGCTCAGTGGGGAGTTTGCTTCTCCCTCTCCCTCTGCCCCTTCCCCACCTCATGTGCTCTCTCACATGCTCTCTCTCTCAAATAAATAAATAAAATCTTAAAAAAAATAGATAATAAAAATCCCACTCTCTAAGTTTGATGTGAGGACAAATGTGTTAATGCCTGCAAGACACATACAAAAAGTGTACAGTTGACTCTTTAGCAACGCGAGGGTTAGGACCCTTGCACAGTCAAAACCCACATACAACTTCTCTCTCCCCCAAAACTGAACTACTAATAGCCTACTGTTGACCCAAATCTTCACCAGTACCGTAAACAATGGATTTATATGTGTTTCATATGTTATATGTATTATACCCTGTATTCTTACAATAGAGTCAGCTAGAGAAGAGAAAATGTTATTAAGGAAATCATAAGAAAGAGAAAATACATTTACATCACTGTACTCTATTTATAAAAAAAGAATCTGCTTCTAAATGGACCCAGTGCAGTCCAAACTCACATTGTTCGCGGGTCAACTGTACGTTCATACTGAGCACTCAGTGCCTGTCACCTGTTATTGCTGGTACTATTATAGCCCGAGCCCAATAAGCATGTGTTAAAGAAATCATTGAGTTCCTGCCCCCCCCCCAACATCCCCCTTTGACTCTCACCTGGGCTGAGAAGTCAATGAGCTTGGGCAACGGCTGCTTGCTGCCCTCCGCACTTTTCAGGAAGTCCAGCAGGCTTCCTGTGGGGGGAGGGGAAGCAACACGTACTACTCAGTACTCACACTCCCTTGGTGTATGGTTAAAATTGCTCGTAGTCATGGATTGAAATAGGGGCACCTGAGTGGCTCAGTTGGTTGAGCATCTGCCTTCCGCTCAGGTCATGATCTCAGGGTCCTGGGATCAAGCCCTGCTTTGGGCTCCCTGCTCAGCGGGGAGCCTGGTGCTCCCTCTCCTTCTGCCTCCTCCCCCCTGTTCATGCTCTGTCTCTGTCTCTTTCTCTTAAATAAATAAATAAAATCTTTAAAAAATAAAAAAAGTAACAGATTTAAATAAGAATATTTATTTACCATGTCTAATATTTGGGAACTAGAATTTCAGTGTTTTAAAAATGACGTTGTGATTACTGGATGGGGACAATCACGATTTCTTTGACTGAGATAGCTTTCTGAGCCTGGTTAACTGGGGGGGGGGGGGCGTGCTTTCCTGGTGCTGGCATAATTGTGTATTTAGAAAATGGAAAGCGTTTTGAGATTTCAAAATCACACCCAATGAGGTTGTGTGAGATGTTTCTGTTTATCGAAAAATGGGCAAGGATTGAAGATGGTGGTGAAGCGGTGGCCTTAAAAAAAAAAAAAAATCCCTGGGAAATCTTGGATCATGGGCGGGCAGGGTGGGGGCAACCTGGAAGGAATGCTTTGCCAACTCTCTTTTCCACAGCATTGGTCCAGACCCGGAAGACTACAGGAGAGGCACGGAGCTGCCCCCAGCCTCGAAGGCTTATCCTAAACCCATAAGCCTTTCCTACCATCACCCAGTCCCCTCTCCTGTAGCTCCATGAGCTCCCCTTCTCCTGGCATCCCCTTAAATGATTTCACCCATTAACCAGGAGAGCTGGGCCATTGCCTGTCAAGGCCCAAGTACTCAAGTTCAATAAGTACTTGTCAGAAGAGCTCCTGGCCGGACTGGAGGGCAAGAACCATGTCAGGATCACCTTTGAGTGTGCAATTGACCAGTATGAACCAACGCCTGCATCCCCAGTGCCCAGAGCGCAGCACCTTTGGCCATGAACTCCGTGATGATGTAGATGGGTTCCTCTGTGACCACTGCATACAGCTTCACCAGCTTGTCATGCTGCAGAGTCTTCATCAGGTTGGCCTCTGCCAGGAAGGCCTCCACAGACATGCTCCCTGGCTTCATCGTCTTCACAGCCACCTTGGTGTGCTTGTTGTAGGTGGCTGGAGCAGGAGAGGGAACAGGAAAGGTGGTCAGAACCCACTGCTCCTTCCCCTATGGCCCTGGGAGGCCCCGCTGCAGAACTGCTTCCTCCAGAACGCCTTCCCTGTTCATCTCAGCCCTCAGAGAAGGGAAGGGAGACGCAGGCTTTGGCCTCAGAAAGATGTGGATTAGAAGGCTGGTTCACCACTTCTTAGCTGTGTACCCTTGGGCAAGTCACTTAACCTCTCTGAACTGTGGTCTTCTCATCTGCAAAGTGGAAATGATCAGCACTGCCTTTCAAGGGCTGTTGTAGGGATTCAAGAATAACCTCAGAACCTCACTCAGATTGTTCCTGGTGCACACACATACACACCACCTTTGCTTTGTTACTTACTCATACACACACACCATCTTTGCTTAAAATGCTTTAATCGCAACACTGCTCTCAATTAAATGACCAATCTCGTCATGGTCCACAAAACCCTGCAGGATTTGGCCTCGCCCACCTTGCCAGCTTCATCATCCACCAAACACCCCCTTGCCTTTTGTGCACCAATCAGCCTGCATATCAGTCAGTCTCAAGCACCCAGCTCCCCCTCCCACCACAGGGACTCAACCCACCCCACCCCTGCCTCATCTTGTTGATCTTGTAAATCTCATAATTACTGTGTTTCCATTTTTGCCTTGGCTGCCAGGAAGCTCAAATCTAGATTTGAGGTCTTCCTGTAGTGAGAGTCTAAGGCCTTATATAATATTTTTAGTTTTCCAACCTTATCACTCAGATCCACTTTACATTCTTCTCTATAATTTCTCTGCCACATTCTCTTATTCAATGCCTGGCACACAGCAGGGTCTCTGTAAATGTAGTTGAAATGTGTGGATTTTAAATTTATTTTTTCTGGCTGAATTGTCTGCATCTCTGTAGGTCGTCTTCGCTCCCACTTGGAACATGGTGGAGTGCACCAGGCATTGGGCCAGGCATTGCACCTACCCCACATTCCGCAAAGCAGGCATTGCTGTTCTCAAGTTATTAGGGGCAGGACGGCAGGGGTGATGCACGCCTTTCTGGTGCCCCACAATGCCCTCGCGTGGCGCTGGGCACATGACGGGTGCTCAGAGCAGCTTGCTCATCAGTTGCCAACACTGAACGTACCTGAAAAATCTCCAAACTACATTTCCCCACTCTTAGTTTCCATCATCCTAAGACGCCTCTGATGATCTCAACCCCAAACTGGTGGACTGTCCCAGCTCCATACAAGGGAGGGGAGGGTGACCCCTCCTGCCCAGAGGGGAGATTTGGACCCCAACAAACCTGGCCTCAAAGGCAAATCAGCGTGTGCATAGCAGGATAATGTGGTTGCTTTCAGAGGAATTGCTCCTTTACGGTTATTATTCATATCTCCCCTTCCCCCCTAGGTGGCATCCCCACTTTGCCTCCAGCCGTTCCTGGAAGCAATGACCTCCCTCATTCGGCCTCCCTCCACCCTCTGGCCCTGGGTCCTTACCCATCCAGACTTCCCCAAACTGCCCGGCTCCAAGTTTCTTCTCCAGCTTGAGGGATTCCCGGGGTATCTCCCAAGCATCTTTCTCCCACGGCTTCTGGGGCTTGGAGGACATGCAGGGCATTGTCAGCTTCTGGCAGAGTCCATCACTCCCCTCTGGAACACAGCCCCTGGTCAGTTGAGGGCAGCCAGCCAGAGACTTCCCCTCGGAGGCCTCCCTGCCCGGTCCATTGCCTGTGGCCAATGTTCCAATGGGTTACCGCTATCGGGGACATGAGGACAGAGCATGATGAGATGTCACCTTGACCCTCCTGTTCAACAGGACTAAGACTTCCAGAGACTCAAAGCAGCTATTTGGGGAGGGTCAGGAAGAGCTCAGCGGGCCTCAGAGGCTGCAGCGCACCCTTCACTAGGATTCCTGGGAGACGGGTCCACCCTGGTTGGGATGCAGCCCTGGGCAGGACTCACTCTTGTAGTGGGCCACCAGCTCCTGCAGGGTGCTGAAGGTGCTCCGTGGGGAGATGTAGAAGCCCCCACCGTCCAGGGTCCGGATCTTGTAATGTTTCACCGCTTCCCTGTGCTGGGGGTCATAGTCTCGCACAGACAACGAGTAGCTTCCTGCACGGGCCAGAGAAAAACCCCTCAGGAGTGAGATCTCAGAGCCCGCCACCTCATGTTAGCACCCTGACGCCCATTCCTGGCACCTCCGTGGGGGCACCAGGGCAGCGGAGTGCAGGGGAAGAGTGGGCTGTGGGGTCAGGCTCTCTGGTTCTCGTCCAGTCTCCTCCATGTCCAGCTGTGAGACCCTGAACAAGTGACCATGTCACTGCTCTGTGCCTCAGCTTCCTCATCTGTAAAATGGGGTTGGTCATCATACCTCCATAGCTCATCACATTGCCTGATGATTAAAAGAAGTAATGCTGTAAAGCACTCAGGATGTGAACACTCAGCACATGTCAGCTCTCATCAGCATCTTCATTATCTCGATCTATCTATCATCTATCATCTATCACAAAAGCCAAGACACCACATCAGATTGGTAAATAGGTTACTCAGAAACAAACAAAAAGATCCACAACAACAAACGCAGTCTGACTCTTGAAATGTAAACACTGAAATGTAAATGTCAACATTAGATGTCATGGTAGGCTGAACAACAGCCCCCTGAGATGTCCGTGTCCTAATCACTGGCACCTATGACTTTGTTAGTTTAAAGGGACTTGGGGGATGTGATCCCGGTAAGGATCTAGAGATGGGGAGATTGTTGTAGGTTGTCCAGGTGGTCCCAAGGGAATCACAGGGTCCTTATAAGAGGAGGTGGGAAGGTCAAAGTCAATAGTAGGATAGGTGAAGATGGAAACACAAGGTTGGAGGGATGTGAGAAGGGGGCCATGAGCCAAGGAATGCTGCTGGCGTCTGGAACCTGACAAAGGCGAGGAATCAGATTATTTCCTGAAGCCTCTAGAAGGAACCAGCCCTTCGGACACCTTGACTTGAGCCTAGCGAGACCAATTTCAGACTTCTGACCTCCAGAATTGTAAGATAATAAATTTATCTTGTTCTAAGTCACGAAGTTTGTGGTCCTTTGTGACAGCAGTAGTAGGAACCTAATGAGCATGACATCACACAGACCAGAAACACACAAGTCTTTCAGTCCCTGACCATGCTTCTGGATTTGCAAGCTGTGCGTCATTGGGCACGCTATTAGCCTCTCTGTCTCTCATCTGCTCTATGTGCACTGTGGGTACTATGTCATAGGATTTTGAGGAGTACATCTTCCTCATCTGTATGTATCTCGATGATGTATCTCATCATCGAGATAATAAAGATGCTGATGAGAGCTGACATGTGCTGAGTGTTCACATCCTGAGTGCTTTACAGCATTAATTCTTTTAATTATCAGATATTGTTGCACGAATAACAATTGACCAGATATGCCAGCCACTGTTCTAAGAACTTCGTCCAAATAAACTATGAGTGAATATGAATAATTGTCACAAAAATGGATTGTAATTATATGAATATAAGGCATTATGTTATTCATTATAGTGAATGAATAACCCCATGAGGTCAAGGTTTTAGATCACCGTCATTTTAGAGGCAAGGAGATTGAGGTCCAGGCAGGTGAACTAACTCACTTGCAGTCATGCAGCTGGGAAGGGGCAGAGCCAGGTTTCAAACCCAGGCAGCTGGCTCCGGGCCCCACTCTTTGCCACTCTGCCGGGCCAAGGTGAGGCTGGCTTGACTGATACTAGATGGGGGTGGGGTAGAATCTGAGAAGCAGCAGGATGGGATTCAGGGCACTCACGGTGCCAGTTTTATTAAACTGGCTAAACTGGCCCCTCGGGTCCTCCGTCTGGGGGGACCTGTGAGAGTGAACCAGGCTCACCTTCCTGCCCTTCAGGGCTGGGGTGGTTTCTCGTCTCCCCAGCCACTATCTTCAGGATGGGCCAACTCAGTCAATCCCCCAGCTGTCCTGGGAGCAGCTGGAGAGAAGCTGGGGACTGTGTATAGCTTTGCCTTTTTTGTCCTATTTCCCTTGCCCTGAGGCTTGAAGGGGGCCGGTTGCGTGGGAGGAAATAAAGCCTAAATATGCACTGGCCTGAAACAGTGATGGCGAGTGGCATTATCCTACCATGTTCGGGCTTGACCAATTTGGATATCTAGGGGTAGAGAAGAAGGCCACGCAGATGCCTTTGATGGATGTCCCCCAAACTGCTCAGGATACTGTGAGGTCACACTTTATGCAATTTACTTGCTTAATCTGAGCCAAGCAGCTTTGAGACCAAACATATTAGTTAAGGTGCACCCCATGTGTGAAGTCTGAAATCATGAGACTCCTTCTTGACATCCATTCCTTTGGAAAAATTAGCCTCAACGGATGCTAGTTTATGTGATGTTTTTGGGTACTGTTCTTCCTTCCTGGGTGACAACCCAGCAGAAAGCCCCCGTCACAGCACAGGAATTTCAGGAAGTAGTTCGCCAACATGAAAACTTCCAAAAAACATCAAAAGAGCCAGTTTAAGCAGAGTCTCAGAGGAGGCTGGCCTGGGGCTCTTCCGGCGGCCTGGTCTACCCCTTCCTTATGGAAGGAGGGGGAATCAGGCTTCTGGACAAGATATACTGTGATGGGTATTTTAAGTAATATAAGCTAGTGAAGGTCAAGCTTCAACAGAATATTGTTTTTCGGGGTCCACAACCACTTGGGCCTACGTCCAGGTACCCAACCAGGAACTACAGAGGCTGAGGACACATAAACCAGGCTCGAGCAAAGGGCAAGAGAAAAGTTGGTAGTCTGGTGGGCTGGGTGAGTGGCTCAGCCCTCCCGGGGCATTTGCAGAAGGAGAGTGGTGGCCAGTCATGCCTAAGGTACCCCTGCAGGGTGGGGCAGGGTGGGCAAGGCTGGCATCACCTTTGGTGGTCTCGCTGTCCCGGATCAGGAAGGAGCCCAGCACGTTGCCCGGGGCCAGGAGTTGGCGCTCTGCATCCTTCCGGCTGATGTCCTTGAAGAACCACCTGGTGGAGAGGGGCGGGAGCAGCGTGTGAACCTGGGGTAGGGGGTCCTGCCCCGTTCACACCGGGCACCAAGAGACTGAGAGCCTGGCTTCCTGTAGCATCGATTTTCCCACAAGATTCTTTTGGGAAAAATAACCATTCTTTTGATACGGAAACAGACATTTTACCAGGAGTGAATTCAGTTTGCTGAGATGGAAACTTATGCAGTTTGGGGAGCTTTCTTTAAGAAAAATAATGCCAAAAGAAAGATTTCCCCCAAAAAAAACTGTAAAAAAAAAAAAGAAGAAGAAGAAGAAAAAACTTTTTTTTAGAGAAAAAGAGTACAGCATTACAATACAAAATGCCCATGGGTCATTTCATTGCCACCCAATGTGAGGGATATGGTGATGGATAGAAAAACTGACTGGTAAGATACAGCAGTCTTAACCAACTGTGGTCAAAATCTTGCTTTTGCCAATTTCAGAGGTACACATGAGCATCCTCTCAGGGTCTCAGACGTCCATGGGAGTGGGGGCCTGAACTTTGTAAACTTTACAATGTATCCTCTTCTGTGTGTACAAAGTTGAATACAAAGTCAACATGAATTTTCAAGCTAAAATGTGAGATTTCAATAATTTTATACTTGGACCTTTTCATTTTTCTCCCTGAATGTTTGGGATGTTGAGTGGAAAAGCCCAAGCTGCAGCAGCAGCCAAATCCATTCCTACCCTCAGCAGGGTGAGGAGTGGTTCGTGTGCTGTAATGGAAAACGTCCCAGACCTAAGGTCAGCTGGGTTGCACCTGCCACAAATCTGCTATGTGACCTTGAGCAAGTCACTCTCCCTCTTTGGGCCTCTGTTTCCTCTGTATCAACTAGGGGAGAAAGACAGCTAACACTCATCAAGTTCTTGTTATCCACCCAACAACTGTATGGAATTATGGCCCTTATTATCCCCATTTTATAGATGGGGAAACTGAGGAACAGAGAGAGCAAGTTACTTGACTGGTGTCATATAGCTAGGAAGTAGTGGAGGCAGGATTCAAGTCCAGGCGATCTAACTCTGGAACCCACACTCTTCGTCACCATGGGACACTGCCCACCTGCCTTCCCTGCTTTCATTTTTGAACTGATTTGTGCTATGGTGAAATATTCAAGCAATATAACGGGGTACATGGTAAGAGCTGTCTCCCTGGCAATCCCACCCCTGGGAAGTTGTCCCAGGGATTTTGCACAAGGAAGAAATGACAGATACACAAGGAGAGTCACTATAGCCCAGGACTGGAAGCAGTTTCTGTGACCACTAAGAGGGGACGGTAGGGCGTCTGCATGATGGACACTGAGCCTGTACAAGGAAGGTGCAGGACGGTGTGTGTAGTAACTGCCACTGGTGTAAAATAAAGGGAGATATATGTATTTTCTTACACAAGTATTAAGCATTTGGGAAGACTCATAAGAAACTGGTTGCTTCTGGGGAGGGAAGTGGCTGGTTGGGGATAGGGTGGAAGGAAGACTTTTCACTCTGTTCTATGTCCTTCCCCACTATTTGCATTTTGAAACAAAGTGTTGTCTACTTCAGGGAGGGGGAGGAAGATTCCTCCCCACCCCCCCCCTTCCTTTCCAATGCCCTGCCCACCCTCCCCCAAGGCACCCTCTGCTGGCGGCTCCTTGATGCAGACTCAAGAACCGTGAGTGCACTCGGCAAGCCCGATGTCTGTTTAGGTCAGTGGTTTTCAAGGTGAGTCCCTGGATCAGCAGCATCAGCCTCACCTGAGAACTTGTTAGAAATGCAAATTATGAATCAGACAGTTGAGGAGCAGGGCCCAGAAACCAGCATTTTAACCAGCCCTCCAGGTGATGGTGATGTACTCAAGACCGAGAAATGACCTTTGTTCACAAATGATAGCCCATGATACATGTTGTCTGCACCCTGCCTTTTCCATTTAGCAAGAATGCTGCCTTGAGGAGTACCACCAGCAGGTGCCTCCTCTAAGGCTGCTGGGAAAGGTGGGGTGTGGGCATTCTGTGAGTGTTCAGATCCTGGAGTCTGGGAGCAGAGCACTGGATGCCCCAAGAGAAAGCCTAGAACGAGTAAGAAGGAACCAAGCCCCGCCTGCCGCGTGTAGGGGGTGTGTTAGGGGGTGGTCCAGGATCAGAGGTGGGAGAGGGGCCTTCCTCACCGCCACAGAGGGGCCAACTTCACATAGCAAAGAGGTTTCATGTGCACTAAGAAGGGCATGACTTTAAGATGGGGAAAGCCCAAACATTTTAATTTTTAATAGGTCAGCATTTCAAACCCTCAACACCATTGAGCCAGAGGGAGGAGGAAGAAGAGAGAAAACTATAGGGACCGCCATTTCTTAACTTTTTGAATGGCTGCTTGTGAACGGGATCTGTCATCGCCCCGTAGCTTGGCCAATCTCGCCCACCACGCTGTGAACATCCCCAGGGAGCAATCCTGGGTCACCTTGTGTCCCTGGAACAGGGCTGCTGGGTGCTCAACAAATGTCTGTTGGGTGATGGGACGGATGCATGAATGCCCTATAACTGTTTATGTTTTCAGAGTCAACCTAGACACAGAGGAGAACCTGCAGCCTAGCCTGCCGTGTTACAGGGAGCTCTCTGAGGGCACAGGTAGTCCCCTGTCTGGCACAGGGCTTGGTGATGGGCGGGCACATATTTACTGAATGAACCAAATGAGGGATGGCTGACCAGGTGTGGGCTGGCTCGCCTCTCAGAAGACCCTCTTTGGTGTGACCATATCCTTCAGTCAACAAATATGTATTGAGCACCTACTGCAGGCCGGCCTGTGCTGAGGATGCCCTGGCAGACAGACAAGGTCCCTGTCCTCAAATGCTCCCACCTAGTGGGGGGACACAGGCAGTGAAGGTGTGAGCAACCACAGAAACAAGATTGTTCTTGCTAGCGAGAAGTGTTCAGAAGGGAACAAAACAGGTCTCCACGAGAGATCCCCACAGGGGATCCGCCTTAGGGCGGTGGCCTGAGACCTGAAGGGTGAGAAGGAGCCAGGCAAGAGCAGACCCCTAGGAAGAGTGTGTCATGCAGGGGAGACAGTGAGTGCCAGAGCCCCGAGGCAGGAACAAACCGGATTTTCCTTCTGTGGGGCAGGAAAAATGGAATACTTACTCCTCTGTCTCCAGAGAGTCAACGCGGGCAACGTAGTTGCTTGGGATATAGCCTTCTTTCCGGGTGGCCAGGGATCGAGCCTTCCACCATTCCCCAGACCTGAGGACAGGAGAGAGCAAAGGAGTCAGGGAGCAGAGGGAATCCCCTGGTCCTCCTGGGCCCCCCATCCTTGGCCTAGAATACCTCCCCCCCCAAACCCAGGAAGCAGATAGGGTAAGAGGCAGGGTCACCACGGTCCCAGCCCCCAGCACGCACTCCATCATTAGGGTAGGGATCTTTATAACAGTCCCCACTGTGCATCCGAGGGTCTAGAATCAAGCCCCGTCCCTGCATTCATAGCCCACAGCCCTAGGCCTCTGGCCCCACTCTTCCCCCGGACTTGCAGTGGTCCATACTTAGGGTATGGGGTCCTGTGCCCATGGCAGACTCATTTGGGCTAACAGCCACAGAGAGTGGTGTGACCAAGCATCACCACTCCCATTTTTGAGCCCCAGCACACAGTGACACTACATGGAGGGTGAAGACTATAGGGGACTGGAGGTAGGAAACTTCGAGATCCAGAGATCTGTGAATGCAAAGGTACCTCCGCAGGGTCTGGTCTACAGATAAACCTGTAGTTTAATTACAGGAGCCCGAGGAAGGCCTCCCTGAGAAAGTACTTTCACCTGTTCACTGTTGCCTGGATGTGCACTGCTAGTAAGTACACAAGCTCCTTTGTTGTGGCTCTCGTCCAGGTTAACAGCAAACCCTTCATCCTCTATTATGATTCTTATCAGCCATTTACCCTCTAGTATAAGATAGTCTATGTGTGTTCTTTATTGACACACAAAAGAGAGCATGATTGAGTATTGGAGGTAGCTATGACTTAGGAGTGGGATAGAGACTCACTCTTCCAGGACCACCATCTGATCTCCCTTCTGGAAACTGAGGTCTTCATGGTGAATGGCCTCATAATCATAAAGGGCAATCACAACGATGTCATCAGGACCTGCTGGGAGAGAGACACGTGGGATGGTGAGGCTTTATCTGAGCACCACCACGGTTCTGGGTGTTTTCTATCCCAACAACTGGCACCCAGCCCTGGACCCACTGACATGTCTGTTTCATGGTATAAATAAGGATTTTGCCATGTGGGGTGCGATTCTAGAGTTTAAAGCTAAAGGTTTGCATTAGTAGACAGTGTAATAGAAACAAAATAGCCTGTACAAAGTACTTTGGGAGCAATTTAAAAGATTTGCAAGGGTGATTTTGACTGTTTGGGATTTTTGCCTTAATCTCGAAGCACCTAACCTAACCCTCTACATGACACAAGACTTCACCACATTACGTTTGCCAAATACTTACCATCTGTGGACCCTGGTGGGTTGTTGTTGCTGTTGTCAGGATGCTGTGGGGAAGAAATGGGAGAAGGGGATGAATCTAATAGTGTGTGGGGAGCCACAGAAGGTCTGTGTCAAAACGGACACCCAAGAGTATCTCATCCCAGCCCTGTGTGTCATGGGAGGAGGATTTGAGAGGGCTGGGGACATATGTGAGGTCACAGAGCCCATGAGGGACACCACAAAGATCCAGGTCTCTTGGGTTGTGGCCTTGGCCTTGGACATACTGGGGGCCTCCCTTGACATATGTGAGGGGGTTGGTCCAGGTCAGTGTTTTCTAAGATATGTTTGAAGAAGCTGTAGGTCTACCAACATGTTCCATGCATAAAGCCTCCATTATGTATATGAAGGACCCTAAGTGATCATCCAGAAGGGATCTGATGCCTACACGTGGTGATCCAGCAGCCCTCAGGGAAGTGGAGCTTCATTCCCAGCACAACTAGGCCTTAAAGATACACTGTTGAGTGAACAAAGCTAGTTCTTCAGAATGAGAAACACGATCCATAGAGAACACGTACACACACATCCTAAATACGTTCTGTGGACACAAACTCTATGTGTGTGAGCAGGACATTGGTCAGAAGAAACTGTAGCTTTCACTGTAATTTGTGATTTTTCTTTTCAAGGGGAATGTGTTTGCATGTTGCACACTTAAGTAAACTTAGAGAAACAGGTATGGGAAACAATGAGAAGTTTGTCTTTTTGGGGGGAGATCCACAAAGCCCATTAAGATTCATAAAGCTCTGAGGACTCCCACAGGGAAGGAGCCTGTTTTGTCCAGTATTTTGTAAACTGATTTGGCCTGGGAACCCTTTCTCTGAGCAACACTTACTAACTTACCACTGAACTAATGCCCTGCAGGAGAACGACAAATGGCTGATAAGAGCATCCCTTAAATATGATGCTCAGAAGACAACCAAAAACTGGTGGGAGAAAACCCTCTGTTTCCTACTGGTGTCAAGCTAAGAAGGCCTTGGAGAACCTGGAGCCCTGGCCACAGAAAGGGCCCAGGGCCATGCAGGTTAGGAGAGAGAACACATCTATGAGTGACTAAGGGTTTAGGATGTCAGTTCAGGACATCACTGGTGTGAGAAGCTCATATCATCTCAGGATGTATTAATAGAGGTCAAGTGTCAGAGGGAGGGAGGTGACAATTCCACTGCCCCCCCCATTCCCAAAATTAACCCTGTTCTAGACATCATGCCTGGAGAAGGGCAAGCAGAATGGAGAGAGGCCAGGAACCCATGTCGTGTGAAAAGATGATTTGGAAGGAATGGGTGGGTTGGGATAAGATCTTTGCCTTCATTCTCTAGTGGTTGTCCTGGGGCAAAGGGAGTGGCTGTATTTGGTGCGGGACTAAGGGGTAGGTTTGGGAACAAGGGGTCAGGGTTATGAGACAATAGGCCTCCTTTCAATCTGAGGAAGAACTTTCTAAGGGCCTGCCCTGGAAGGAGAGAGCACCCTAGCCTCGGGGTTAGAAAGACCCAGTTCTGGGCGCCTGGGTGGCTCAGTCGGTTAAGCGGCTGCCTTCGGCTCAGGTCATGATCCCAGGGTCCTGGGATCGAGTTCCGCATCAGGCTCCCTGCTCAGTGGGGAGCCTGCTTCTCCCTCTCCCACTCCCCCTGCTTGTGTTCCCTCTCTCACTGTGTCTCTCTCTGTCAAATAAATAAATAAAATCTTTAAAAAAAAAAAAAAAGAAAGAAAGAAAGACCCAGTTCTGCTGTTCCCAGCTGTGTGGCCCCGGGGAGGCATTTCACCTCTTTGAGCCTTAGTCACAGTCACAGTGGCGTAACTGTTGCCTCACAGCTTTTGGTGAGGACTAACGGTGTAGAAGCGCCTCGCCCCAGTGCCTAGAGGATAGCCGATTATTACAGCCATTCCTGCAACTATAGTACCGTCACCACCACTCCTGGTTCTGTTACTGTTGCTGCCACAGCCTCTCTTCTATCACTCTCACGACTGCAGTCCCAGGGGCCCTGCCGCCGTGGCAACTGTGACCCCCATTATCACCACGAGTACCGCCCTGATTGCGGTTCCTCATTAGCATTTGCCTTCCGCCTCTGTTTCTCCTGCTCCAACCCCTGGTACTTTGGCACTTGCACGGCCCAAGTTTGAATCCTGACCCTACCCCTCACTACCCGTACGGCCTTCAGCACGTTATTAAACTCTGTGTCTCACCTGTGTAATAAAAATTGAGACCTAGGATTACCGTGAGGCTTTAAGGTGTTGATAACCATAGAGCACTTAGGACAGTGCGTGATCCGTCGTGAGCCCCGAGTAAGTAGAGGATAAGTAAGCAAATACCTCTACTGGCGTGACTACTTCTCTTACTTACTGCACCTGCGCTTGCCATTAACTGCACCTGCGCTTGCCATTAACTGCACCTGCGTTTGCCATTATACTCCCGCAGATCTTGCTGTTACAATTGTTACTATGGTTATTGCTATAGCACTAATACTACCATTACCATCACTACTTCGACTGTTGTTGTTACTGGTCAGGTCACTGACTACTCTCAGCACTGCTCGTGCTACTGCCCAGGCTCGGGGCTTCTGCCCTGCCCACCAGGACCTGGTCCCTGGAGCCTGGGCGGAGGGGCCAAGGCCTGGGCAGCCAGACAAGGAGGAGTGATGTCATTGCCCCAGGTCCTTGGTGCAGATGTATTCCAGAGAGATAGGGCACACTGTTGGTGACGGGCCAGCTCCACGTCACCCCAAACATACCCTGCTGACGGCTGGGAAAACAGGAGGCTGTTAGGGCAATTTGGGACAGCATGGGGCAGCCCCTCAGGCGGCCAAACCCCTTTCTTGCCCCCACTCACCCACTTGCTTGCAGACGTGGGATCTGGCACATACACAGGGCTGTGTGGGTTGGTGCTGGACTCGGTTTTTGAGATCTTGCCTCTGTCCTGGAGGAATTTGGACTTCATGCACCCCATCCTGCATCAGAGATAAGGGAAGTGAGCTTGGCTTGCCCAGAGCCCCACACAGGGAGTCCTAGATGCTGGGTTCCAGGTCCCCTGCCCTCAGGCTGGCTCCCTCTGCCCTACCCTGTCTCCCCCTACCCCTCCCCACCCACCGCCCCTGCCAAGCCCACTCAGTCCACCCTTGCCACCTCTGGGCTTCCCCACGTCCTTGTCTGCCACATACCCACACAGAGCTGACAAGTTGTCATAGTCATGCTACCAAGGACCCCTGCAATAGGGAGTTTATTCAGAGAATAAATCATGAGGATGATAAAAATTCAACATGCAGAGCCTTGGAGCAGAGTGGGTGGTAGTTACCACAGGTTCTGGGATCAGAAAGCCTTGAGTTGACACTTTACCCCTCCACCCCACCAACACCTCACTCATCACTCACCCTACTCCTCAGTCTCAGTTCCTCATCAGCAAAGTGGGGATAATAATAATACAACATACTCGCAGGGTGTTGGAAGGATGAGAAAACATGTAGGCAGGGAAATACTTAGCACAGCGTGGGACTCAGAGCAAACAGTAAAGTGAAACTATACTATCATGTAATAAATTACCATTTTATATTAAATGACCAAGATGAGGTCACATAATATGGCTCAAACAATCTAGCTAAATAATAGTCAAGGCATCATCTTCCTTGTATCATTTTATAACTGCCTTATAATAGTTTCCTTCCTCCCTCCCTCTCTTTTTCTTTCTTCCTTCTTTCTCTCATAAGTTTATTTGGTCATTCATTCCTTTGTTTACTCAGTAAACACTTACTGAGCACTCTTCTACACCATGAATAAGATAAGCCAGTTCATGCCGTTATGGAGCTCACCCTGGGGATGAATGGGAGACACAGACAATAAACAGGTAAAAAATACATAACAAGATAAGTTTAGTTAGTGAAAAGTGTGAGGACAATCATCAAGGATGTGATAGGAAACAACATTGCAGGGCTTTTTTAGACAGGGTGATTGGGGAAGGCTTCTCTGAGGAGGTGACGTCAGACCTGGTACCCAAATGGCACAAAGGAGCCTGTCATGTAACACAGTGAGGGAACAGTGTTCCAGGCAGAGGGAACAGCAAGAGCAAAGGCCCTGAGGCTGGAATGTGCTTGGAGAGAATGAGGTACTAAAAGGAGGCTGGTGTGGCTGGAGGTCACAGGCAGGGAAGAGGAGTGTGGTTTGGGACAAGGCTGCCACATCTTTTACAGCCAAGGAGGAATCTGGATTTGATTCTAAAGATGATGGGAAACCTGGAAAGTTTTAGGCAGGAGAATGATGGGATTCATTTGCATTTCAAATAATGGCTGCTGGGTGGAGTAGGGACTCTAGGAGGCAGGGCAGGGAACCTGGTCCACCGCAGGGGTCCAGGCATGAGATCCTGGTGGCCTGGCCCAGGGGTGGTGACCACCAGGGAGGTAAGCAATGGACAGATTCAGGGGGACATTTTGGAGGTAAAGCTGACAGACTTTGTCGATGGGTTCATGAAATTTAAAGATACTTAAAGAAAACATGTTTATTCAGTTCAGAGTCAAAACTTAATTGCAAAAGTGGCAGAAATGTTTTATTTCCCCTCTCAAAATGCTCACATGTACTTGCTGAGAAGATGAGCCACAAGCAGCCACATGAGAGAGTAATTGTTTTTCCTCAGCTCTACACAATTGTAATTCTCTTCTAAATCAGAACTCAGTTTTCTTATCTTGTTAAACACATGTTTGTGGTTTAAGAAAAAAAAATACATATTTCTAGGCTTAGGGGAGTTATTTTTTTAAAAGATTCTTTTTATTCACAAGGATGTTTTTGTCTGTCCTTGTGGGAATTGGCAACAATTTACCACTTCAAGACTTAAGCGGTTTCTGCTTCATTTGCCCGTTGTGAATAAAATAAGGAACTTCTTCAGACTCCCAGAGTGCTGGATCATTAATTTGAAAAATTATCACAATTAATCACTGCTTTATAATGTACTTATATGCATTTAAAACACCTCTCTTTGACTTGTGATAAATGGGTATTACAGTTCTGGAAATAAGACAGCATATTGTGTGGTTCTGTATGGCATACAATCATATTACATTTCATATTTTTTTGATTATATAAGAATGTGTTGGGAAGGACACTGCTGTGTGATGCAAGGCAGCTCCTTCTGCTTCTCTGAGCACCTACTGAGTATCACTTATACCAACAATTTACATATTCAAGAGGGGCACAGGGTCCTGAGCGACGGGACTCTGCTGTCCTCATGTTGATGCATGATCCAAGGCCACCTCTGAGAAAGGACGCTGGGGTTCTACCGCACAGGGTGGTGGTGAGCACGGAATGAGTTGAAAAATGTAAAGGTTCCTGGCACACAGCAAACACTATAGAAATGTTAACCATAACCAATTCTGTTTACTAGCAAACATGGACCTGCCCTGGAGGATAAAGCAAACACAGACTGCAATTCCTCTGACCCAGGAATTTAGAGATACAGCAACACTTAAGAAGTTAACTCTTTATTTGTATTTTATTTTATTTTATTAATTAATTAATTTATTTTAAGTAGGCCTGAAGCCGAGCGTGGGGCTTGAACTCCCAATCCTGACATCAAGACGTGAGCTGAGATCAAGAGTCAGATGCTTAACTGACTGAGCTACCCAGGCGCCCCAAGAAGTTGACTTTTGAAAATAGGGAGTTCCCATTAGTTCAATTTTTGCACAGTAAAATATGATTTTAAAAAAGTTATATACTGGCAGGAGTCAAATTTGTATAAAATGTGACTGTCCCCCTAAACCAGGAGAACTGTTCCACTGCTTGGCATGGCGTGGCCTCAGACATGCTCATTTTTGTGACCACCAGACCTGGAAATGTAATGGGAGCCATGTATATAATTTAAAAATTTCTACAGACATATTTTTCCAGGTAAATAGAAATAAGTGAACTAATTTTAAGGTACATTTATTTTCCCTAACATGTCAAAAATTTTTAACATGTACTCAGTGTAAAAATTATCAATTAAGGAGCACCTGGCTGGCTCCGTGAGTAGAGTGTGCGACTCTTGATCTTGGGGTCGTGAGTTCAAGCCCCACATTGGGCCGAGAGTCTACTTAAAAATAAAAATAATAAATGACATTTTTAAATGTTAAAAAAATTACCAATGAGATACTTTATACTTGTTTTTTGCACACCAAGTCTTCCAATCCCAGTGTGTATGTTAGAGGTATAGCCCATCTCCCTTAGGACTCATCATGTTTCAGGTGCTCAATAGCCAACCTGTGGCTGGGAGCTGCTGAACGCAACAGTGTAGACACAGAAGGTCTACATCATTGCAGCACAGCAGAGGCTGGTCCTACTCCTGCCTGTGTCCCTCAGTGCTTGGCTTAGCATCTCCCTGGCACATAGTAGGAGCTTAAATCACAATTAGTGAATAAATGCATGCCCAGAGCCTGTAATCAGTCCAAAATAAAAGCATCAGGACATGGTTCCTGTTCCAGGGACTGAGTTGAAAAGGGAAGACTGAACATACAGAATTATGTTCCAAAGTCACAAAGAAGCTGTTACATTTTGGCAAAGACAGTCAAAGCCGTGCAAAGATCGCCAAGACACTTAATGAGTAAAAAAACAAACTTCAGGGATGCCTGGGTGGCTCAGTCGTTAAGCGTCCGCCTTCGGCTCAGGTCATGATCCCAGGGTCCTGGGATCGAGCCCCACATTGGGCTCCCTGCTCGGCGGGAAGCCTGCTTCTCCCTCTCCCACTCCACCTGCTTGTGTGCCTTCTCTCGCTGTATCTCTCTCTGTCAAATAAATAAATAAAATCTTAAAAAAAATTCAAAAGATATATAATATCAAGCCATTTTTGTAAAATGAATACATCTGGGTTCTCCTACTAACATGTGTATGTTAATATGTTCATAGAAAAAGCAACCTGTTTATAATAATGAACAGCAGGATAACATTTGGGTTTTGAAGAATGGGGAGGATTTTAGTCAAAGTCAAGAATGTTCCAAAGGGTCACCTGGGTGGCTCGGTTGGTTAAGTGTCCGACTCTTGGTTTCAGCTCAGGTCATGATCTCAGGGTTGAGAGATTAGCCCTGCATCTGGGTCATGCTCAGCAAGGAGTCTACTGAAGATTCTTTCCCCCTCCCTTTCCCTTCCTCTCTGCTCCTCCTCCCTCCCCCCAAATAAATAAATAAATAAATAAAATCTTAAAAAAAAAAAAAAAGAAATGCAGAATCACAGCCTGCCCCCAATCAGAATGTGCATTTCAACAAGGTCCAGATGATTTGTGTGATCATTCTAGTTGAGAAGCAGTGAACACTATTTACTCTTGCTTCCTCAGCATCCATCCCACTTCTGATAACAGCACCTGGATTTTCCTTGAGAAATCAGCCTTCTTCCACACAATGCAAGGAGCTTTCGAAGGCTAACCCCTCCCTTGCCTTTAGGGATTGACAACTTGATACAGGTCTGGCCAATCAGGATTCCACGTCCCCCTGACAACCAGCAGTGGTTGATTCAGTTATAGGTATGAGTGTGATCCCAACTGAGGCCATCAGAATTGGCCCTGGGATTTTGCTGGGAAAATGAGGAAAAAGGCACTCTATTTCTATAAGAATAAGCTGATGTAGGTGTAGGTGTAGATGTAGGGAACTGGAGCACTTGGGAGTCGTTCTCACATCATGAAGGGAGGCACGGTCTTAGTGTGAAGCCATCACAGAGGTCAGCAGAGCTGAGCGATGGAGACAGAGTGATTCTTGAAGACATGTATGAACACCTGGATCCAGTGATGCCTGAAACTTGCCAACCTCAGGATTTTTCCAGTTTATGAGCAAATAAATTCTCAATTTTGTCTAAGATAGTTTGAATCGGATTTTTACTGCTTGCACCCAAATAGTCCTCACTGCTTCTTGCATATCCCTGGGCTACAATTGGGACTGAATGAAGCAGAATCTCTGGGGATGAGGGCCTGGAATCTGCATTTCTCATAATTCTTCAGGAGCTTCTTATACACCCTAAAATGTGAGATCCACTAATGTAGTGGAGTGAGGGTTGGACTTGGGGTCAGAATACTTGGGTTTCGATCCTGGTTCTGCCACTGGCTGGCTGTGTAACCTTCGGTAGGTCACTTCCCCTGAGCTGCATTTTCTGCCCTGTGAAGTAGGAGGCCCTTGCTTCTCAGGCATGGCCTGAGGTCCTGGGTGACAGGGATGTGAAAAGCTTTTTAAAACCTCTGAACACATGATTCTTGTCTAATGTGACTCAGAACCAGGCTCTGAGAGCAGAAGTTGCTTGCCTGGTCCCAGACTAGCTTAGAACTGCTGACCCCTGGCAAAGACACTTCCTCAGATCACTGCGAAGCTCCTGGAAACTGAAACCCGCTCCTTGCCCCCTCAGCTTCTGCAGGCGTTACACGGAAGGGAAATGAGAAAGGTCAGTTTATTTGCCCTGGGTGCTTCCCACGGTCACCATGCAGGCTGTGGAGCCTCAGGGACTCCTCCTGCATGCTCGGAGTGAAACTCAAGGGGGAGAGGCCAGGGTGCTGCCTGGGCATCCTGTGGAGTGGGCAGAAGATGGTTTTCAAGGAGCTTTTTGGCTCAAGCAGAGGCCTGTGAGGGCTGGGGCTGAGGAGCGCTGGATTCTGGTTTCGCCTCTGCCATAAGCTCACTGTGTGAGCCTCAGTTTATCCAAATATGAAGCAAGATGTTGGATGATTGTTCTTTCCTGCATAATCTCTGCTCCCCCTTTTTCCGAGAACAGCTCCCCAGTCCTCCTTTGGGAACCACCTCTCTCTCATCCTCATTTCATGGATTGGGGTAGAACTGACTTCAACTTCTGTCTGTAGGTGTGTGTGTGGGCGTGGGGGGTGTCTGTGACCAAGTCTGACCAAGCAGAGTTATAGTAACAGAAGCAGAGGTAGACACGTGACTCCATCCTGGACATTAAGAGTCATCCATTGGCTTTTGGCTGGAAAAGAGTTGCAAAGCAGAACCAAGAAATGGAGAAACACAGATTCGCAAGCCCTTCATTGCAGCCCTTCCTGAAGCGGATGTGTTTGTGGACTTCCCAATAATCTCCCTCTCCTACATGGGCCAGTTTGAGTTGGACTTCTGCCCTCCTTAAACATCAAAGAGTGTTGCCCAATGCAGAGGAAATTCTTACCAGGGATTGTAATTCATACCTAAGTGTAAATGGCTTATGGCAAAGACTTCATAGATAGTAGGTTCTGATGGATGAGAAGAGGGTACTAGATCCATTAGAATAGGTGAGGAGATATGGAATATGGACCCCAAGAAGCTGATGGCACTGACGCCATGCTTAGAAAGTGTCTGGCATGTATTAAGCCCTCCCTATACATTTGTGGAGTAAATATACTGTGTTCAACCTTCTACAGGCCTGACCATACTTGGCTGAAATCAGCAGGACCAGAATTAAGAGCCCATTTTACAGATGGGGAAATGGAAATCCACGACAGAGAGGTTTCCCAGGTGGTCAGTGGCAGGTAGAATGAGAAACCAGCTGTCTTGCCTCTCATCCTCCACTGGGGTCAACCCCAGAGGCTACAGTGGGGAACTGCATGATGAGGATGAGGAACCCAAACAGGAAGTTCAGGAAGGTAGACCTCCAGGGGCCCAGGGCTCAAGACTGTCCAATTAGAGGAACTTTCCCCTCTCAGTACAGCTCAGCCATGGAGGTGGAGAAAATGTCTTCCCCCATCAGGGACAGTTTCCGGAAGAGTTTCCAGGTGTGCAGAGCCCTACGGATCCCCCTCCTCTGGTT